AAATAAATGATATTTCTACTAACTGGAGGGGAAGTGATAAATTTTAAAATTTTCATATTTATCAGAAATGATGTTGTTGGTGCATACAACATTTCTGATAAATATGAAAATTTTAAAATCTATCACTTCCCAGTTATTTATTGCGTTTTACTCTTATCCACATTCTTGAAAGGAACACTGATGGTGTACTGGGTTATGTGTTGGGGTATTAACTGAAAGGTCAGTAGCTCCAATCTACCAGCCAGCTCTATGGGAGAAAGATAAAGCAATCCGCTCCTGTTGAGATTTCCAGTCTCAGAAATTCTGTGGAGGGTCCCCATGAGTTGGAATGGACTGATGACAATGGGGGGGCGGGTGTTCATTAAATTGTTTACACCACTAATATCGGGGTGGAGGAGAGACGCTATTGTACTACATAGTTGTTTGTTGTTGTTGTTGTTAAGTGCCGTCCAGTCATAGGCAACTCATAGCGACCTTGTGTGACTTTCATCCTTTCTCCAGGTTCATAGGGTTTCCAGAGGAAGCTATTTCGGAAGTGGGTGCCACTCCTGCTTCCAAGCTTGTTTTAATTGAGGAGCTCCACCAAACACTGTCCACCATGGGTAGCCATTCTCGCATTTGACCCATCAGTGTCACTGTGTTCAGCTTCACAGCAACCACAAGTTACCGCTGTACAGCAAGTGGACACACCAAGCCTATATGACTTAGAAGAATGTTTGAACAAAAACAATGAAAAACGGGCCTGAGGGCCACGGATTAAAAATCACCCACCTTTGGCTTGATAGCATCACTTTCTGTCCACTGGCACAAATGATCACTCTCTATGTTGATGTTATTGATGTAACATACTATATAGTATACTACCAAATATTCTTTTAGACTTTATGTGCCGTGATATCTGTCACATTTCTAGAATCTCAGTAATTTGTTCAGATGATCCAGACTGAGTTCACCTTGTGAGACAGGACACAACAATCCTCCAAGAAAACCTCCATGTGATGAAAGGGTGGGACACTGGTGGGCTGGAGACTGTGGCTGATCTTGGAGTTCGGGCCGCAGGATATGTCTGGTGTGAAGAATACAGGCATTAGAACTGGGAGGACTTAAGTTTTAATTCTGTCTCTGCAAGTTCCTGTGTACCATGGGCAAGGAACGTAACCTTCCTCTGCCTCAGTTTTTTTTACCTGTGAAATAGGCTGTTAGGAAGATATTGTTTAATTGTATGGTGGTATGATGCTGTGAAGTTCTTGGCATAATGCTTAGCACAGAACAAAACTTCAACAAAAGAGAACCATTATATATAGATATAGGGACCTCTCCAAAGTACTGAAGAGCAATGGTGTCTCTCTGGAGACTAAGGTGCGTCTGATACAGGCCATGGTCTTTGCAATCACCTGTTATGCATCAGAGAGTTGGACAATGACCAAGGAGGATAGAAGGAGAATTGATGCCTTTGAGCTGTGGTGCTGGAGAAGAGTATTAAGAATACCATGGACTGCTAGGAAAACAAACAGATTTGTCCTAGAAAGGGTTAAACCGGGTGGCTCCTTGGAGGCAAGGATTCTGAGACTCTGTCTAACATACTTTGGACATGTTGTGAGGAGAGACCGGTCCTTAGAGAGGGACATCATGCTTGGTAGGGTGGAGGAACAGCGCAGGAGGGGAAGGCCCTCTATGAGGTGGATTGATTTAGTGACTGGGATAATTGGGATGGGAGTGTCAGAGACAGTGCGATTGGCACAGGACAGAGCGGATTTTAGGGCTGTTGTACATAGGGTCGTACATTGAGTCGCAAACGACTCAACGGCACATAACAACAACAACAACTAGAGATAGATAGATAGATATAGATAAATATAGATACACACACACACACACACACACACACACACACACACACACACACACATTTCCCCCTACCTACGAGAATTGAGGGAGCTCTCTTGTGGCTGCAATCCCTAAGGCATGTGGTTCAAATCCACCAGCTGCTCCGTGGGAGAAGGAGGGGCAATCTCCTCCCATATACTTTACTGCCTCTGAAAACCTGCCGGAGGGTCAGCTGTGAATCAGTTCTGACTTTCCAGCACACAGCGACAACAAGCAGAAAGAGTATAGACAGGAAATACCTTATTCTCTTCTAGGTGAGCTGGGTGAACTTAGTCACCCATGATCTCAGCCTGTGTCTCTTTCCAACACAGCTCTTATTAGCCAGTTGTTTTCCTTCTCTGCCTTTATGGTGAGCTCAGATTCCAAGGACTGGTTGGTTGTTTTCCTGGTGGTTTTTTGTCTTGTTTTTGTTTTTATTTTAAATTAATTTTAATGAAAGTTTACAGAGACTTTGGATTTCCATTCATTTATTCAGTTTTCTCCCTGCTCACCACCTGCCCCCCCCAAATTTGCTTTTCTCTTTGAAAAGTAAAAGAAAAAAATTCTTTCATTGCTTTTCAATCCCTCCCCCCAAGTCCACTCTACTATGATCCCCTTTGGCTACACATAGGTAAGCTCGATCAGGTTTGACTCTCAGTCATTATTTTCAATGTGTCAAAGCTCATAATAAAGACAAAGGCTGTTAGGGAGACAAACCAGAATGCCGGAGCCATAAATGTTAACAAAACTGTTTCGTCTGCCCATCAGCGTTTCCTAGCCACTAAAAGACACACAGATTCCACATACTGTTTGGGTTATTCCCTACATGATGATTGTGCCACTGCAGTGATTTCCAAAGGTCCAAATCAAATCACATCCTTTGTTCATTTAAAAATCCTCAAAGCCTTTCTTGCCCAAAGGACCAAGCCAAAGTTTGGCAAGTAAAATCATTGCTAACATGGTCCAAACAGACTTCCAGCAGCCTCGCCATTTCCATCTGTAATATCCTCCTTCCTCTCATCACTGTTGCTTCCCAGGAGAATCAGCTTCCCTGCGTCTAGAACACGTCCTGCCCTTTCATGCTTCTGAGTCTCCATCTACACCCTTCCAGCATGATTTCTCTGACAGTGTCCTCTGCTTCAAAATCCTGGCACAAATGCAACTGAGTTGATCTCAAGTTTTCCCATCACCCCAGGCAGAGCTGTGAGTTGCCCCTTTGTGCTTGTGAGCAGACCCTTTCCATGCCTTTATGAGTGAATGTACAGCCTTCTGAGGCATAATGCGGACATCTGTATCTATTACTGGACTAAGAATAAATTGCTCAAGGTATTGCCATGATCTGTTCATCTTTACACGATCGCATGGTTCAAAGGTAAAGGTAAAGGAATAAAGACCCCCAAACCTGTTATCACTGAGTTGATTTCAACTCCTGGCAACCACATTACCATATATTTTAAATTCTTTTTTCCAGGACAGAGGGTTAATAATGTGACTTCTGGAGACAGAAAGTTCTTGTTCTGAATGTAGCTGTCTTAATGTCCAGTTTCTTTAGCTGATAAATAAGAATTAAATGAATCTCATAAGATAATCAAAAGGCACATTGCATTGGGGAAATCTGCTGCAAGAACCTCTTGATAAAGAGGGATAAAGAACAAAGATGTCAGTTTAAAGAGTAAAGTGAGCCTAACCCAAGGCATGGTATTATCCATCGATACACATGCAAGTTGGCCAGTGGATAAGGAAGACTGAGGGAGAACTGATGGCTTTGAACTTTAATGTGATATTGGCAAAGAATGTTGTATATACCATGGACTGCCAAAAGAACAAACTAGTCTGTCTTGGAGACAGTGCAACTAGGGCATCCCTTAGTGCAAGGATGGTGAAACTTTATTTCACATACTTTGTGCAGGTTATTAGAAGGGGCTAGGTCTTCGGGGGGTAAAAACCACTATGCCTGGAAAATAGAGGGTCAGTGAAAGAGAGAAAGATACTCCATGAAATGGGTTAACACAGTGACTGCAACAATGGAATTGAGGGCATAAATGCATTGAGATTGTGAGAACAGCCCAGGATAGCACGAGGTTGTGATCTATTGTTCACAGAGTTGCTCTGAGTCATAGTTAACTCCACAGAACCTGAAAACAACAACATAGGGCTGATGAGAGGATTAAATATGAAGTTTAATTGGTTAACAGTGCCAAGCACAAACAGGCATCCAGTCAATGATCATGATGTACATGGTCTCTTGACAGGCCCCTGTGTTTCTAGGAACACATGGCTATGAAACAGACATATTGAAACACATTTATTGGTGTAGAACCAATTCACTTGAGGTTCTAACTGTTGGCTTTTATCCTGTTGGCCCTGTGCTCAGCCTAACTGCATTGGAAGATCAGATGGAAGATACAAGTGGGTCAGGTAGATAGATCTCTAGAGACACAAGAAACGCTAAACCAGGAGGCAGAGGAGTGCCTACGTCTCTGGTTATATTCCACGTCAGCAAGTTAGTAGCTTCCTTGATGCTGGCCTTAATGACTGACCTTATGATTCCTACTGGTGTAACTGTATTTCCTTTGCATGCTTGAGATCCCCAACTCATACCTTTCTAGTCTTCAAGCCAAAACAAACCAACTCGGTCTTGGAAAAAAAGCAGCAGATGATGGGGCATGATCTCAACTTTAATTAACTTTTGGGCTTTGAACATGCAGGAAAAAAAGGAAGAAATTATTTTCTTTGTTTTCACTCAATGACTTAACCAGTCAATCTTAATCCAGAAGACACACATTCCTGTGAACAGCATATTTTAAGCATTTTATTATAAATGCATAGTTTGCCCCCCTCCCATCAACTTCTGACTCCATTTGGTTTGGAAATAGTCTAAATGAAAGGTCGGGGGCAGGCCAGATACTTGCTAACCCCAGCAAGATAGTTCTAAATACAAGATCTTTTTTTAAGCATTCTAAGTCTATTAATCTTTATTTAAACAGCCTGGCCTGCCTCTACTGATCAAACTGCTAAGAAAATAAACCAGGAACCATGAGGATTTTGTTTGGGAGACCCACTTGCAAGTCTGGTTTGGAAAGTGCTCTGGGCAAAGGAGGTTACTTCTCAGGCTTTTGCTTCTCTGGCTTTGCTTAGTGCAGGAGGGCCACCAGAAGCTTCTGGAAGTCCCCAGAGGTGTCAGAGCGAACCATGTCCGACAGAGACTTTTGGTACTTCTCTTGGAACTTTGCTTTTATTCCCTTAAGGTCAACCTGTAGGAGAGAGGACAGTGCATATGTTAGGAACTACCAAAAGAATGAACAAATCTGTCTCAGAGGAAGTTTAACTAGGGTGCTCCTTACTGACAAGGATGGTGAAACCCTGTCTTCCACACTTAGTGCATATTATCCGGAAGGGCCAGTCCTTGGAAAAAGCTTAAGCTACATCTTACATAATTTGGGCATGTGGCCATGAGGGTACAGTCCTTGGAGAATGGCTTCATACTTAGAAGGGTGGAAGGACAGTGGACAAAAGAAAGAACTTGGATTAGCTAGATTAACACAATATCTGGGGTAATGGTGGTCATTGTATCAGACAGTGAAATTGGTTTGGGATAAAGCAGAGTTCAGAGCTATTCTACACAGGGTCACTGTGAGTCACAGGTGACTCGATGGCCCATAAAAACAAGGGCAGATAAGTGACTAGATTTGAACCGCAGGTTGTGGCTTGCTAACCCTTGTTATAAAGTTAAGAAAGCTGCAAACAGAGGTTTGCTAGGAAGCATTTTTCTTTTTTACTCTGATCAGCAAGGTGCCAATCAACCAGATTGACTCTAAGTCAGAGGATGAGAGACCTAGGAGCTCTGTTGGCCTCGTTACAGGTGTTGCACTGCCAACACAAAGACAGGCAGTTCAAGTTCACCAGCTGCTCCTCAGGAGAAAGATGGACAATCTCCTAGCTTGGGATTTACAGCTTCTGAAAACCCAGTGGAGGGTCAGATCTGAGTCAGTTCTGACTTGCCAGTACATAACTACGGAGCCCTAGGGCCTGAGGAGGTAAAAATTCCGAGGGAAAAAAGAAAAAGACTGCTCTGCCCTAAAGAATCGTACAACCTGGTAAGGGAGTTGATCGTAAGCCAGAAAAGATATAGTCCCAGGTTGCAAGTAAATCAGTTTGTGTTAAGGTGATTCTGGCCTGGGATGTCATGAGTGGGTCCTGACTAATCGTTTCTACTATCCAAGGAACCCCTAGTTTTGCAGAGAATCTACTAAGTGTCACTAAAGAAGAATTGGACTGTTAGGTATTTAGATGTTACTTGCGCTGCACATCCAGAACTGTGGCTCAGTTGTCTGGTTATTTTTTTTTTTTATCTACAACACCAATTAGAGAGTTGAACTGAGATAGAGCGGTGAGAACAGAAAAAGGAAGAGGAGGGGAAGTGTCTGAAGCAGATGCTGATAGAAAGAGAGAAACTGCACCAGGCTGATGGTCTGAGTCCCCTGCTCCTCTGGCTTGTATCTGTGTGGTTCCTTGTCTGGGGATAGGGGCATGGGGTGGGGAAATGAGGTCACTGTGAGGACTCTAGTTTGGTACCATGTGGATTTGGGAAAATTAGGAGAATCAGCTAAACTATACCCAGCTAGGAAGGAATTCCTAGGAGGTACACACAGCTAACAAGCCTGGCTGCAAACCAAAAGGTTAGAAGTTTGAATCCACCTGGAGTTGCCTTGGAAGAGAGTCCTGGTGATCTGCTTTGGAAAAGTTTGCCATTGAAAACCTCATGGAACACAATTCGACTCTGACACACACAGGGCCACCATGAATCAGAGTCAATTCGACGGAAACTCTTCTAGCTGGCTGGGCTTCAGCTTTCTGAAGAAATGGTCCCAATCTGCAGATGCCCCAGGACTTGGGTCAATATGGAGATGAGTCAGTTCATCTTAGAATAAGACATCCCAGGGCCCAACATGAGAATTTAAAGTGGCCTCGAAGTGGGTGCAATCTCTTGGAGGTCTTCCTGATGCTTGGCTTTCTCTATTGTCTACCTGCCTCCTTTGGGTCTCTGAAGGCTGCCTGGTGAGCATGGCTGTGGGCTGAATTGCTAAAAGGCAGCAGAAAGGCAGCAATTTAGAGAGAAGAGGGAAAGAGGTCTAGATAGAAAGATCGGGAAAGGAGTGAGAGAAAGGGGTGCTTTAAGAGAGAAAGGAAAAAGTGAGTAGTGAAGGAGGAGGAACAGAGGGCAGAGACATTCCATAAATAGAAATAAAAACTCTAATATTATTAAGTTATATTTAAAAACACAGTCAGAGGTTAAGTATTATTTGTCAAAAATCCGTGAACCAGAATTTGGATTAGTATCTATCCTTTGACAGTTTTTTGAAGGAAGATGTCTGTGGTTTGCTAATGCTAGTTTTACTTTATTCTCCAAGGCTGCGCTGAAGTAGCAAAACATCATTTATCCCTGTTTTTTCCAACCCCTGTGACTCTAGAAAGGAGCTCTGATGGCTTAGTGCTTTATGCATTGGGATGCTAACTGAAATTCGGTTCAAATCCACCAGCTGCTTCTTGGGGGAGAGCTGAGGCTGTCTCCTCCTGTAAAAACTATAAGGAAAGTCTTGGCAACCCAATGAAGGGCCACCATATGCAAGAACTTGCTGGTGGCATTGAGTTTGCTGTTCAGTTTGATGACTCTATAGTCAAAAGCAATAGCTGTGACTCTTCCAAGCTCTAGGCTGCTAATCTTCCTGTCCTTATTGTACTCATTCATTCTCAATAGGGACAGTACCATCCTTAAAAAGAAAAAGATTCCCCCCCCCCAGGGGAAGAAGGAGGGAGAGAAAGTCTTAATCTTGAACATATTGTCATGGATTGAATGATATCATCTCACTGTTGTTGTTATGTGCTCTCAAGTTGCCTGCAACTCATAGTACCCCTATGTACAACAGCCCTAAACCCTGCTCTATCTCATGTCAATCTTGTCTCTGATACACCTACCCCCATTACCCCAGTCACTGAATCAATCCATCTCATTAAGGGTCTTCCTCTCTTGCACTGTCCCTCTCAAAGGACCGGTCCCTCATTGCAACATGTTCAAAGTATGTCATACGAAGCTTCAGAATCCTTGCCTCCAAGGAGTAGCCCAGTTTCACCCTCTCTAGAATGAGCCTGTTTGTTCTCTTAGCAGTCCATGGTATATTCAATACTCTTCTCCAGCACCACAGCTCAAAGGCATCAATTCTCCTCCTATCATTCCTAGTCATTGTCCAACTCTCTGACGCATAACAAGTAAACTGCAAAGACTATGGCCTGGATCAGGAGCACCTTAGTCTCCAGACTGACATCACTGCTCACTGACACTCCCCAAGTATATATTGACACCTTGTTTCTGGATGGGATCCTATTTGTAATTAGGATGCTGTTGTGGTAATGGGGTCATTCCAGAGTAGAGTGAATCCTAAACCTAATCACTTCTGAGTCATGAAAAGAGCAGAACAGACACAAAGGTACCTATAGGGAAGGCAAACAATGGAATGAAGCCCCCCCTTTTTATAGCCTGATCAGTAGGGATATTAGTGCCCATCAACATCACAGAAGGCCAAGGATTGCTGACTGATACCAGCCACTAGGAGAAAGGTCTTCCGAAAGAGCCACTGACCTGACCAGCAGCTTCATTGGACAAAACAGCTGCAGAACTTGGACAAAATAAATTCGTGTTCATTAAAGCCACTCATTTGTGATAGGTTTTTCATTGTTACAGCAGCACTTAGTAGCTAAGACACATATCTCATTGCCATGGAGTGGATTCTAACTCCCAGCAACCTGGTCAGACAGAGTAAAACTGTCTCAAAGCATTTCTATAACTGACTTTTCACAGAAGCAGACCAGCGGATCACTGTCCTTTTGGTTAGAAGCTCAGTGCTTTAACCTCTGTGTGACCAAGGTTCCAAGACACATACAAAGCACAGATATACAAACATACATAAACAAATGCAGTGTATCTGCAGTGATAAGATGTCTTGGCAAGGTGGCAGGTACAGTTAGACCTGGATGCAGTTGTTGTTGTTTTTGTGTGCCATTAGAGTTGGACCCCACCCGTGGCTGACCCCCTAGTGAGTTCTCAGAGGCAGGAAATCACACAGGCGGAGATTACCCAGCATTCTCTCCATTCTCTCTTGCAGCAGCTGGTAGACTTTGGGATTGCAGCACAGCTTCTTAGCACTAGGCCACTTAAGATGCAGTTAGAATTCTTAAATATTTAAGAACATTCCTCATGGGAAAGAGATCATGAAAAAGGCTATGAAACACTCTTGCATAGATGTGTTTCTTGTACAGAACTGCTTCTGCAGTTCATTCAATTAAATAAAAGAGGTAGGGATTTGTGGTGCCACTCAGAAGGTGGTGCCTCTCTGGGGGTTTGAACCCACCAACCTTGGGAGAAAGACAGGCCACCTCCTACTGGACCATCTATAGCCTCCCAAACACCTGCTGGAGGGTCAGCTCAAAGTCAATGACAGGAATTGGAAATTATTTTTTTCTCTCAGGAATCTCGCCATCTCTGGTGCTGTGTGATCTTGCGAGAAGTCAGCTTGTGGGTGTCTCTGGTCTTTCTTACAATGGAGGTGGGCACAGATGCCTGACCTCTCAAGGGCTCCCTAGCTCCCCTCTGCATACCCAGCACGCCTGGAGCCACAGGCGGCAAAAATAGAAGCAATTACCCCATTGTATTTTATAAAAAGAAACAGATGGGAGTCTAGCAGATGTCTTCCACGCGTTCTGGGAGGGCAAGGCTGTCCCTGTTTTACTTTCTCTTTAATAGGCTCTCACTAAAAAGGATTTGTTGAGGACACTGGTGATGGAGCCAGGAGCAGTGGCCTCCGCCTCTTGGGAGTGGAGTGGCCTTACCTCAGCCCTGGTCACAATGATCTGGATCAGCGTCTCCTCATTGGTGCCCGCGCCCTTCATGGCCTTGTATAGACTCTCAGCAAAGTAGCCCTCAAGGTCCCGAGCACACCTCACTGGACAAGACAGGGGGAGAGAGAATGAGACACTTTCCAGGTCGGTTAACTAATGAGATGCTTGGAAAGAACAAAGCTGGCCCAGCGTGTCACCCCAGAGTTGACTAACTTGTGAGGAAAATGTTTGAAAGGAATTGAGCTCACACTATTGTGTAATAGGACCCGAATTAGTCTCCCAGGTCAGGTATCAGAGTTTTTCAACCAGAACCCAGGCAAAGCCTGTAGACAAATAAGACCCCATCTTGCTTCTCATCCTATGGGCTAGAAATGGACCATTTCATCTTGTTAACATCTGTTGGAAGGTTCCCATGAATCGGAATCAACTCAACAGTGGTGGGTTTGGTTTTGTTTCTTTGCTTCTATGATCGAGCCTCGAGCTTGGGTTGGATGTCTCCTTCACACACCCAAGTGTATAATGTCTTTATCAAAGGCTGCTGTACTGAGGAGAATTCATCTAGGGAGGAGCATACTTGAGACTCACTGTAATCCACAGAGAGACCTGGGGTGCTTCGGTTACTGTGATCAGCTATTAAATGAGTGGTTGCTGGTTCTACCCAGAAATACCTTGGAAGAAAAGCCTGGTGATCTATGACCGAGATAGACCATCCTATCAGCAGCCCAGTTCCGTTGTTAATGGGGTTGTCACGAGTGAGGAGTTGAGTCAGTGCAGCTCACAGTCAGTTAAATAGTTTCTGGTCAAACATTCTTCTAGGTTGTATAGCACTGGTCTGTGAATTGCTGTACAGAGGTAACTCGTGGTTGCTGTGATGCTGAACACTGTGACACTAATGTGTCAAATGTGATAATGGTTACCCGTGGTGGACAGTGTTTGGTGGAGCTCCCTGATTAAAACAAGCTTGGAAGCAGGAGTTGCATCCACTTCCGAAATGGCTTGCCTTCGGAAACTCTATGAACTTGGAGAAAAGATGAAAGTTATACAAGTGTTCAGGTCTTCAGTTAATAGTGTTGCTATGAGTCACCTACAACTCAATGGTACCTAACAACAACAACAATAACAAACAAGAATTGAAGCTCTCTGAGAACAAGAAGCTTATTTTTCTGTAATCCTACAGCTTTACTACTCTTTGTGTTGTTAAGTCAGAATTGACTCATAGCTGACCCCCCAGCAAGTTTTCAGAGGCAACTGAAGTAAATTTCAGGGAGTAGGTTATCCATCTTTCTCCCACAGAGCAGCTGGTGGATTTGAACCACGTGCCTTTGAGATTGCAGTGCGGTTTCTTACTACTAGACCACTGGAGCTCCCTGGGCCCTGTTAAATAGGTGAGGGAAGTTAGCACCATCTTCAGACTGCTTTATTGAGCTCTCTGGGGTCGACCATATCAAGTACAGAGTAGGTTCCACTTCTGTTCACTATCTTCCTTTTAGCCTTGAGGACAGTGCCCATTCAAGCACTCATATGCTTACAGTGTGGGTCACTGAGTCACAGCAAGGACATTCAGGCCCCTGGAAGTCATGGCAGATGGCCCATTCATATGAATTAAAAATAAGGACAGACAAAAAAAAATCAATTCCTGACATCCCTCTTAAAAAAAAAATAAAGTTTGGCAAGCAAAGCACATTTTTCAACTTCCAAGGCTGCCTTTTCTAGGGCGACAACTCTCCACTTCTTGTGCCATTTGGGCACATGCCCTGGCCTCCTCACCACAGGAGGGTGGACAATGGACAATGCCCAGATTCCTTTATCCAGGGCTCACCAAGGGGGAGACAAGGAGCCTGCCAGCCACAGCCTCATGCCCATCTTTCTGCTATTTCCGGCCTGTGGGCAAAAGCTGCAGTTCCTGGTCTTGGCGTGCTGCAGTCAAGCGCTGGTCTCCCACCCTCCTCTTTCTGAACAGACCTCATTCTTCCCAGGTGTTGAAAGAACCAAGTGGAAAAGGAACCCCTTGGGCCATCCGGCACAGGCACATACACAATGGTGTTCACAGCCCTTGAGTGTGCGGGTACCAGGCTGAGGGTGTGTGTCATATGAACCTCCTACTGTTTGCTGAGACTAGACAATGGTCCAGACTGCTGACCGATGCTCTCAGGACCCATGGTCTTGGGGAGTCTGAGGGGGGATGCTGAGGAGGGCCACACAACGCTTCTCCACCCAGTGCTACTGCTTGCAGCACAGTCTTTCCCCAGGAATTCCCTCCTATGGGGAAACTTCCTAATCTGAGATTCTAAATGTTTTCTGGATGCAGCAGTGCCTAGCTGTGGGTGCAAAGACCTGTCCCCTTGTCTCCCCTCTGGACATCCCCGCTGCAGAGTCTTGAGGGAGCCACAAAGCCTTGGTCACAGTGCGTTCAGCCTGTTGCTTGTCCAACCCTCTTAAAGGTGCTTGTCCAAAAAACACTCCCTAAAAGCAACCCTGCACAGAAACCACCATCTCCTGGTCTGTTGTTTTTGGATCCCAACCCAAGACAGGGATTCTCCCATGTTTACTTTACCAAGAGTCAGATAGGTTTTCTTCAGGTCCCCTGATGCCTCATCTTCAATGGCTTCTTCTATGTCTTTGCCCATGAGCTAAGAGACAAACCAAGTCCAATCATTAGTCCAGCTGTTGCTTTGTCCTTGATGTTCTTAAGATTGTTCCTTCACAAAAAGCCCTTAACCCTTCCTGTGTTGGTCATGTGTCTGTAAGGAGCTCCTGGCCTGCAGGGTTCCTTGGAGGGACGAAGCAGGTGGCCATGCATTGGGGAAGGGCTCTTGGCTGAAGAGTACCCAGCGGGTGAAGGAAGCACAGGTTACCAGTTAATGTGCAAGGAGCAATTTCACATTTGTCACCACATCAAAGACTCTGCTGATAGACACAGCTGGCATCTGGCCCTCTCCCAGTCCCACAGCACCTACTCATGGAAGCGAAGTCCCTTTTCAAATTCACAGTCCATAATAGGATGGGGTCACCAGTGAGTAATGTAAGAATGGGCTTACTTACTAAACTTTAGTCATAAGTTCCACGTGTTTTCCCCACAATGATGATAATAATCAAGGATGTGATGAAATTGTTTTCTCTAGTTAGTAAGGAAGCCTGTGCTTGCCTTGCTTACGGGGTGTTCTGTCCCGGCTGAATTATCTAGATTCGACCCCTAATGGAGCTGAGCCATCCACTCAGTGCCACCCTGTCTGACACAGTATGCTCATCTGTGAAATGGAACAGAAAGAACCATAAAGCATACTGTAACAGTAATTCTTTACATTTATATAGTTGCCACATTTTTATAGTTGTATAGTTGCCGTCTGGTTATATTTAAATAGTTTATATACTTATATATTATGTTGGTGTTACTGTTGATTGCCTTTGAGTCAAATTCAATT